TGCCATTTGATATCTTCTTTTAAAAAGCTTCTGTTCATGTCTTTTGCCCACTTTTAAATGGGATTGTTTGTTTTTTTCTTGCTGATTTCCTTGAATTCTTTGTAGATTCTGCTTATTAGCCCTTTATAAGATGTATAGCTTATGAATATTTTCTTGCATTCTGTAGGTTGACTGTTTGCTCCATTGATTATTTTCTTAGCTGTTCAGAAACTTTTTAACTTAGTCAAGTCCCATTTATTTATTTATTTTTGTTGTGGCTGTAATTACCATTGGGGTCTCCTTTATAAATTCTTTGCCTCAGCTGATATCTAGAAGAATTTTTCCAACATTTTCTTCGATAATTTTTATGATTTTATGCCTCACATTTAAGTCTTTTATCCACTTGAATTAATTGTTATGAGTGGTGAGAGATATGGGTCCTGCTTCATTCTTCTGCATGTGGCTGGCTATCCAGTTCTCTTTGCACTATTTATTGAACAGAGCTTCTTTTCTCCACTGTATATTGTTATCTGCCTTGTCAAAGTTCAATTGCTTCTATGTGGGTGGTTTTACATATGAGCTTTGGCTCTGTTCCATTGTCTGTGTCTCTTTTTTTGTGCCAATACCATGCTGTTTTGGTTACTATAGCCTTGTAGTGTAGTAGGAAGTCTGATCATGTGATACCTCCAGATTTGTTCTTTTTTGCTTAAGATCACTTTGGCTGTTCAGATTCTTGTCTGGTTCCAAACAAAGAGCAGAATTATTTTGTCTAGCTCTGTGAAACATGGTGTTGGTATTTTGATGGGGATTGTGTTGAATCTGCAAATCACTTTGGGCAGCACAGACATTTTAACAAATGTTGATTCTACCAACCCGAGAGCATGATATGTTTTCCATTTATTTGTGTCATCTGCAATTTCTTTCCTCAGTGTTTCATAATTCTCTTTTAAGAGGTCTTTCGCCTCCTTGGTTAAGTATATTCCTAGGTATTTATTTTCTTTATAGCTATTGTGAATGGTATTGAGCCTTTGATTTGACACTCAACTTGGCTGTTATTGATGTATAGGAATACTACTGATTTGTGTACATTGATTTGTAACCTGAGACTTTGCTTAATTTATCAATTCTGGGAGACTCTTAGTGAAATCTTTGGGGTTTTCTAGATATAAGTTCATATTGTCAGCTTATGACATTTTGTCTGTTACTTTCAAAAACTATTTGTAGTTAAATATCTATTTTCTTTATTTTAAAATTAGAATTGATTTTACCACTGCTCCCTAAAATGTCATAAATAGAGTGACCAGAGTCTAACATCTGTAAGGCAGGACAACATGGCCAGGGGGCGGAGCAGGGGTGGAGCAGGGGCGTGGGGCAGGTGACCCAGGCACGGGGCAGAGGACGGTGGCTCAGGGCAGGGCCTGACAACAAGGCAAACTTTGATAAGGAATTCTCGATAATCACTTCTCAGCAATTATTTATTACAGTTTAACATTATAAAATTAATAAAAATAATATAAAACTCATATTCTGGTGATATAGCCATATGGCAGCCAAAAACCGTATATTCCCTTCTTGTTCTCCAGCCCGTTAGTGCATTCTTTCCAAAAATTGGGACTTTTTTTAAAAGGCCACGGGACAAATTGTTGAAAAGCGGGACTGTCCCGCCAAAATCGGGACATCCAGTCACCCTAGTCATAAAGCATTACATATAATTGTCATAATACCTACTTCATAATGTTGTTGTAAAGATTAAATGAGATAATGTATCTAAAGATTTAAAACAATTCTTGGTACATATAAATTTTTCAATAATTAGTAGCTATTTTTGTTATTAGGATTAAAGGTAAGAACCAAGGTTCTCTGATGGCTTTTCATCAAAACATTGTAATTTCTTTTTAGATATTTAGAACATTCAAACCCATAAGGTCTCATAATCAAAATACATAACAATTTTAAACCCTTAAGGTCTTATAATTAAAATATATAACAAATAAATACCTTTTAAAATTTATACTTGTATTCAACACAAAAGAAACAGTAAGGATAAATCTGTTTCACACATTATGCAAAATATTGTGTCACTGGGAAATTCCACAGTGATAATACTGTCAGGATCCTCCCTAACCAGCCCACAGACAAGGGGGCCCCAGTCCTGCCTCAGTGGAACCCAGGACCATGCTTAGCAGACTCCTCACTGGAAAATAATTTAAACAGATTCCCCAAGATGACCAGGGCCCCTTAAAACGGGAATGGTAAATAAATTAAAGGCAGTATATGTATGTATGATGAAATAGTGTATATCATTGAGAATAAATGAGTACAGTATATCAACAAGGACACTGTTCAAAAACAGTGATGTGGGAAAAGACAAGTATGTATATCATGACACCATTCGTGTGTGTATATACATATGTATATAAATACATATAACAATACTAGGTGCTGTCCATGGGTGTATCATACAAAATACGTGTGTAAAAACAGACTAGAAGTTAAGACGAGAGTGGGAGAGAATGGGACAGGGGACTGATAAGAAATGGGAACTACAGGTTTATTTGTTAAAATAAAAAAGATTTTAAGGAAATGTGTAATTTGTTAACATTTCATTCTGGGAAGTGGTTATGTTTGGTTTTATTTTATTCTGTGTACTTGTCTGTATCTTTAAACTCCTAAAAATAAATGGAATAAATATGAAAGCTTAGGAGCTAACTTACAAGGCCCACAAAAGTTAAAGGGATGGTGGCTGGTACCATATTACCCTTACAATTTGTTTAAAAACACAACACTAGGGCGGTGCCTGTGGCTCAAAGGAGTAGGGTGCAGGCCCCATATACTGGAGGTGGAGCATTCAAACCCAACCCCGGCAAAAAAAAAAAAAAAAAAAAACCACTGCACTAGTCTTTACTTTCGGGAAAGATGTACTAACTGATGTACACATATGTTTTTCAAAACACAGGGCCATACATGCCAGTTTTCCAAAACTTTGGAAAAATATTTTTATTTAGCTTTATGGTATGTCTTGCAGTGTAAGTACTCAGGTTGGAAAACTCAGAGGCTGCTGTCCTCAAACTTTGAGCTGCAGACTGATACCAGTCTGCGACCTGTTAGGCACTGGGCCACACAGCAGGAGGTGAACAGAGGGGACCGAGAGGGGAAGGGTTCAGCTGTGTTTATAGCCCCTCCCCTTCACTTGTATCACCACTTGAACTCCACCTCCTATCAGATCCTCACCAGTACCACCCCCCCACACCATCCATGGAAAAACTGTCTTCCATGATCCCATGAAACCAGTCCCCAATACCAAAAAGGTTGGAACTGCTGTGCTAAGGTGTAGACAGGAACTAAATCTATGAATTTCCCATCCTGGTATCTGAGTATAGGACCTAGTGAAGGCTATGGTGAACCAAAAGGCTCTAAAAGCATTCCACTCAAGTTCAAAACTGTTTTAAAACACTATGCTAGCCAAACTATGAGCCAAGCTTTCCCACAACTTCAAATTTCCAGTCTCAATGTAGATGCAGAGACAGAACTTAACTCTTAGAAAGCCAGGCTAACAGCCAGTTATGCAACCGTTGACCTCCACAGCTATTCTAGCAATCATCGTGACAGCATAAATGAAATGAATCACGTTAGGACTCAGAATAATTGGGTAATTATTTATATGGGAAAAGGAGGAAAAACAGGTTAACAGTATGGATGGGTAAAGGGCACATAACTACAGATGTGAATAGGGTAGATTTGTCTGATTTTAGTTCAACAGCTTTATAGGTATAAGTTTCAAAAATGGCAGCTATAGCATGTGTGTTATTTAGGCCAAACAAGTGTGATAGAATGCTCAGTGGAGAGGAAAGGTCAGAGGAGGGTTAGGCATCCTGAGACCGGCATTCTTTATGTTCAAATAGTTATGTCATTGTTAGTGTCTGGAGAAATGTGGTAGGGGCCAGGCTCTCAGCCTCGGGTGTGGTGAATGAAACTGTTTCCCACCTGGAATTTGCTCCAGGATTTCTGCCTTTCTGAACTTGCTCAACTTCAGAACGGAGAAGCTCCAGAGAGGGCAGAGAGAGCTCCCTAGTGGCCAGAGCCTGCAGTTCAGCCCTCCGCCCTTCCCTTAGTCACACAGCCTAGCTGCCTGAGAACAGGAGGCAAAGCAGAGCAGGCTGGATTCAGGGAGGACCAGAGCTGCGGGGGTGAGAAGGCGGCCTGGAGGCCCAGCTTGCTTCTCAAGTCACCAGGTTATGGAAGAAGCATGTGGAAGGGGAAAGAATCCATCTCCCCTCCCCGAGTCTGTTCTTTTTGTTTTGTTTTTTATTTTTTGTTTTTTAGTAGTTCTGTGATTTTAATCATGAGTATTTAGTGGTGAGAATCCTAGAGTAATGTTTTGTCATCTGAATTTTCCAAATGTGAATATAAATTGGCTTTCTCTGGTAGAATTGGTACTTTTGTTTTCTGATTAGGGAATTAAATTGAAATTTCGTTTCTTTAATTTATTAATCCAGTGTGTTGTTTTCATTAATTCCAGAAGTGGAAAGCTAAATAACCATTTAGAAGCTGCTATTCATGAGGCCATGAGTGAACTGGACAAAATGTCTGGGACTGTAAGTTAATTTATTTTTCCATTATACTGTGTTTCTTTGAAAATAAATTGTATTACACCTTTTGGTAAAATCTCTTGAATATTGTCAAGCAGCTCACGCAGCAATACTAAATTACTAGGCTAGGAGGAAAAAAAGACTAATATCATAAAAGATTCAAAGTCATTTAAGAAAAAATAACCTAGCAGTATTAACTATGTCTATTTTCAGACATAAGCAAATTTTGTTTTCCCATATAATATTTTTTTTTAACTGTGAGCAGCAAAATATTGAAGTGTGAACCACAGCCTTGTGCATTTAACTCTGTGAATAACAGTGGACATTATTGCTGCTGAAATATATATAGTAATAAGGCAAACTCCACCCTGTCACTTGAACACAAAAGTGAAATTAAATGGTAGGGTCAAGATCATGAATGTGTAGACCTCTGATTTCCCATTTTTATTGAACTTGCATATAATGGCATTGAATGTGAGAAGTTTCATCATTATCCCCTAATTCATGTACTGACTGATATAGACACTCAAAATAATTTCAGTAATCTTTTAAATAATGTGAGTTATCTACAACTATTTAGCAATGAAAAGTAATTTCTTTCACTTGAAACTTTGTATTACAAGGTTATCTGAATTCCAACAATCTATCCGATAGCAATTGTGATAGATATAAGTCATAGAGTCAAAGGATCTTGAGATCAGTGTGGGCTTTAGAGATTTTGTAATCCAACCCACCATTTCACTGATGGGTGAAATGAAGTCCTGAAAAGTTAAATATCCTGATAAAATTATAAGAAAGGTCTAGATTAGGGATGGATTATAAACTCAAATGTCTTACAGAGCCAGGCAAATAACATCAATAAGTAAAGTGTATCAGAAATGAGAAAAACTGCAGTTTGAGTGGACTGAGAAATGCCAACAAAACTGCACTGGTGAGAGTGGCCTGCAGTGTCACGGGGTCAGCGCAGGAAAGGCCTTGGCTGACTTGGGTCTGGTCCTGGGTGGGGAAGGAGAGGCTGTACGCAGTCATTCAGGACCCCAGATTCTTTCTGCATCAAGTGTCCCTCCTTCCTTAGGACCTCAGTGTTCCATTATATCCTTCGTGTTCATCCCGGCAGGTGAAAGGGAAAAGTGTGTTCAGAAGACTGACAACATAGGTTTTATGAACCAGGCCTGGAAGCTTGTTACTTCTGTTGATTTTCTGCTGGCCTGACCCCATCCCATGGTCTCCGAACTCAAGTAGATGAGGAAATGTAGCATAGAATGTGCCTGCCCAAGAAAAGGGGGAAAAGGGCTTGGCAGTCATCTCACTAGTCTCTGCCTCAGAACATTTGGCCTTTGTGGCCAGCAGGCCATCAAGCGTGATAGAGATCGTGGCACTGGGGTGACCTGTCCCCTCCCAAGGGGTTTCTTCTTCCATACTCCAGCAGATCACAGACATGTGGGAAATTGTGCTCGTGCTTCAAGAGCCTCCCATTTTTATCATGAGAAGATAGAAATCTGAAGGTAACATTTCTCATTTTTAGGTGTTGACAACTATTTTTAAAAATATTAAAATACCACATGGCTAAGCACAATGCCTTTTCAGGCCACATTTGGTCCATAAATTACTAGTTTACAATCTTGGATAAAGATTCTTTCCTTAATTTTAAAAAGTTTTAAATTATGGCTCTTTACTAGAGATGAATGGTTTTTTAAAAAAAAAAATGCATATAGAGAGGATTAGGAGGAATAGGCAGATTGAGAAACTCATAAACATTATTTCAAATTTTTAAAAATTTTTTTAGAGTTTTGCATTTGACTCTAAATATCATTGGCCTTTGATGTTGTCTAAACATTATTTTTAAAACATATAATTGAGTGTACTTGCAGTGGGTCTTGAGAACTGACTGTCTACATCTCTTCATAATTCTAAGTTCTGTGACATCAACTTTGTAACCTGAAATTGGCCATGGTGAAGGCATTTACACCACAGAAATTGGCAAATGGGTGTGTGTCCAAACACTGAAGCATTTGCTACACCTCTGTCTTGTGTCCATCCTGCTTTTCCTAGGTCTTGGGGCTTTCCCCCTCCCATCAGTAGCCACTATATGATGTAGGGCTCCTGATCACAACCCCCTGCTACCTCTCAAAACCATACCTGTTGTCTAATGCTTGACATGGCTCAGTCCACATAGGGTAGCCTTCCCTACCCTGCTCCTTGTCAGAAATTGTATGGTGTTTGCAATTTCAACGTCTGTTGTTTTTTTCCACCTTTTTATTTCCAGGTACACCAAATCCCACAGGGAGACAGACAGATGAGACCCCCCAAACCCAAGAGGAGGAAGATCTCCAGATAACAGAGACTACTCCACTGATGCGCAGTGTTTATTAAAGGAACATGCACAGATGTATCTGTATAGAGGTATTGATATAGCCACTGTTATATCAATATTTAAACTATGGCAGATAGCTACCACCACCACAGGGTGCTAAAAGAAAGAGTGATAGAAAACTTTCTGATCAGGAAGGATAATGAATGCAGGAAAAATGAATCAAAATCCCTGTATGATGAGAGTCATAAATGGTCCAGAGATTACTGAGAAACTGTTTTTCTATAAAATTAAAATTGTGATTATAAGAAATAGTCCAAATGTTTCTGAAGACTTTTCAATGTTGTATATAGAAATTACAGAATTTCATGGTGATATCAGAAATGTAAATATTGTACAATATTGTCATGTACAAGCGTACCTAATGCACACTTTATCTTTTATTGTACAAAGAAATAGTGTACAAAATTCTTTGGTTTCTATGGAGTACACCTACCAGAGACTACCAGTGTAAAGTGATAAATAAAAATACAACCTAAATGCTTTTCTATGATAATGTAAAAGATGCTGTTTTTGTATTTAACAGCAGCGTAAAGGCATGAAGATGTAATATCTGAATTATGACATACACTGAGCACCCCTGAGTATCCATTTATATTGTTTGTTTGGAATGAACCTTGCCTGGAAGCACTGGAGTCAATTTTGGGTGTCTAGGAAATTGCAACCTTGAAGATTTCTAAAGGGATGAGGGCTCACAGGTCTAAATTAAGAATTCAGAAACTGCAACCATTTGTTGCATATTTTTTTTACCTAAGTTTTAAAATAGAATAGGTTTTATAAAAAAAAAAATCTTAGATGGAATATTTTACTTAGCCATTTCTGTAGTTAACATTTGATAGCCACCTGTTGAACCAGATAGCTTACACTGCACCACCACTGGTGTTCAGAATTGAGGGTTTGGGTTTGGTTTGGTTTGGGGTTTTTTTGTTTTACTTTTTTTTTGCAAACAATAGCTGACAAAGTAAAACTTTCTATTTCCATACATGGAGGCAAAAGTCCCGCTTCAAAACCATTGTCAGAAGTAGGGTAGATTATAATTCAGGGGTTTTTTTTTTTGTAGTGGCAAAAATAAATACAAATAATGAAAGCAAGTTTCATATTCATCAGTATTACTTAACACAGAAATTAAGGTGGCTTACAAAATTATTAGCAATGGTAATTTTTTATCAGTATTGTGTAACATATCAGATTTATTTTATTTAAATAATTATTTATACCATTAGCAGATTCTTATATATATATCAATGTGGCTGAAATGTGCAGGTTAAATCTATTAACCAAATTATTTATATTATATTAAGAAAAAAATGTGAAACAACTGTAGAGAGAAAATACTACACTACAAGTATACAAACCTAAAACTGTGAGCCATTGTAAAGTACAAGGTAATTTATAAGATATGTAGCACAACATAATTTTCCATCTTTTTTTCATCATTTTTGTGGTGGTGGTATAAGCCGATCTTCCAGGCAGTTACACAGTTTCAGCCTTCCAGCCTGGCTTCAGCTGATGGATTATCAAAAGAAGGGATCCATTATCCCTTTGTTTTTGGAACCACCAGTCCCCTAGCCTCTGCACCAAACCCTTAAGCCCCTGGAGAGCACCTCTAGCCTGCAGTTTACTCTACACAGCCTAAAGCCCAGGCTGCTGGGAAGTTCTCCAGTAGCAGCTCCCAACCCCCAAATGCCCACCACCTACCCTACTTCTTCACTCCTATCCATCCCCCAAGCTCCTCAGTCCTGTCATGTAGCAGAGTTCCAGTAACTCAGGAAAAAGGAGACCAAGGTCATTCCACGAGTTGGTTTCTTGGGACCACAGCACAGAGCACACCACCTGAGCTCACTTTTGATAGCAACAGCTCTTACTTTTTCCCCTTTCCCACCCCCGACCCTACCCCGAGCCTGATGGAATACAACTGGCTAGCCCGGGCTCCCTGCCTGGCAGTAGGAAGCTTTCCTTCAGGGGGTGGGTTCATTTGTCTTGTAATGGGGATCGCCTGCCCAGTCCTTCGTGCACTTACATGAAGTAATCTTTTGTGTAGTTTCATTGACGTATTTTGTTGTAAGTTGATGTGCTTGGCATATTTAAATCATTAATGTCCATTTTGTTGCACCAACCTGCTTTTCTACTGTTTTTTCAACACTCATATTTATTCACACACAGATATACGTATTTATTCACAGACATATATACGTATGTTGGCCGTGTCTGCGTGTGCATGTGTGTACGTGTTGATAGGGAGATTTGTTCAGCCTTTGCTTTTCTGTCTGCAGACTGAGTTTGTGTCCACTGAGACTTCTTTGTGGTATTTTGAGCTAGTTCCGTGTGTGCTTCCCAGCACTGTATACTTTACATCATAGGCCATGTAAAGTATGTGCGTGCCCATGATCTCGCTGGTCGCTTATGACTTGGATGTGAGTGCTCGGTGTAGTTGTTTCAGTCACATGGGTTTTTTTTCCCTTCTCAGAGTTATATGGTTTCATGTAAGCAGTTAATGTAAATATTGTTAGCACTGCAGGTCATGCAGTGCTATAACATTTTTTTAAATGTTGCACCTACATTACAATTAAAAAATTGGTTCCTCATACTTCAGATTTGCCCATACAGCCATTTCTTTCTCTTTGTATTGAAGCCAACTCAGTTTTTTAAAATGAAGGCTAGCCCTTCCATGTTAGTAAGTTTTTTATTCTCCAGAATATACCTTTTAAAAAATCTAAGAAGGGAAACAGAATGAAAAATTTTTGCTTCTTCAAAGAACGCAATAGTTTCTCTGCTACAAAAGGAAATGCGATCCTATTTTGTGTCCCTTAACAGTCTTGAGAAGCACAGGAGAATAAACTACACTTCCAAGTTGGTTTTAAAGACTATTTCAAATGACTGAAAATTAACTAAGCAGCTCTTGTGTGATTTGTCATGTTTGTAGCATTAAAAGAAATCCAGGGTTTTTATTTATTTAAAGGAACATTTTTCATTTGTACTGTTCTGTACCATCATTATGTTTGAAAATGCTTTAACAACATTCATCCCTTGTGATATCATGGGCCACTTTTAGTCTTTTATTTGGACCCTGACTTTGACCTTTTGCTATGTCTGTTTTTTAAGTAAATACAGCCTTCTTATTTGGACAGAAACAGTAGAATTGTGAGAGGAATAGAGGGAGTTCATTTCACTTTCTGTAAGTTTTTTGAAGATTCTCATATCCTATGAGGTGATGCCTTCTCATTCCAGACCTGACAGCACATCGTTGGTAACTCTGGTAATCTTCCATGCAGTTTGCAGTGTTCCCTTGCAAGTCACAAGCATATTTGCATCAGGATTTTAAAATCAAAGATGCCTAAGATGTTGGTGGCATTGCTCTTTCTGAAAAGAAATCCAAGATACTAGACCTTTTCCAAAATCCTGTTTACTTTGCCCGTGTATGCCTAAATGGTGCAATGCAAGACTTGAGACTTTTCCATGGAATGTATAAAATGAGTAGTGCATTACTTGACTCATTTGGGAGACATGAACAAAAAATATCAACCAGCCAAAACTGTAATATTGAAATAGTTTATCTTTTTCTTTCACTCACTCTATAACATTTGCATTAGCCAAAGAGATAAGAACATTAGTAATTCATATGTGTAAACAACCCAGAAATGAATATTAAACCAGTGAGCCAAAAAGCAATAAACAACTCAAGCATGGGAAATCCTGCTAACAGTGGGGAGCCTGATACAGAAAAAATATATAAAAAGCATTATCTTCAAATATGAAAGATTAATTTGTATCTACTGTAAATATGTATTATCAGCCTTATCTGCACTTATACACACTGTGTGTGTACCTCAATGACCTTTTATAAACCGGAAAAATGGTTGATTTAATAATTTGTTATGTAAATACAAAGTTGTCTATAAATTGGAAAATTTGATGCCAGATGGCTTCATAATATACAAATGTGTTTTGTAACATCATGCCTTTATGGATTAAGTATAAATACACTTGATTGTCTATGTAGAAGAGTAGCAGTTTACATTTCACCTGCATTTCAAATGGATATTTTTGTCTAAATGGTTGTACTATTAGGAAAAGAAAATGACTTCAACATTTTCAATGTGAAAAACAAATGTGGGCTTGGTGCCTATTGCTCAATAGTTATGGCGCCAGCCACGTGCACAGGGGCTGGTGGATTTGGACCCGGCCAGGGCCTGCTAAACAACAATGACAATAATAACAAAAAAATAGCCGGGCGTTGTGACGGGCACCTGTAGTCCCAGCTACTGTGAGGCTGAGGCAAGAGAATTGCTTGGGCCCAGGAGTTTGAGGTTGCTGTGAGCTGTGACGCCAACAGCACTCCACTGAGGGTGACATAGTGAGACTCTGTCTCAAAAACAAAAAGAAAATATGGTCTTGATTTTACTAAAACTCCTTCTCACACCCAGGAATTTGTTTAGTTCCAAGTTAAAAGGTTTGCACTGTGAGATTTCCATGGGCTATTCATTGATCTATGACAGGGATCTACCTAGCAAAACTCCCCGAACCGAATTACTCTTCTTGAGAGACAGGCTACACATCTTTCTTTCTAGTATTAGGCAAAGGAAGAGGCCTAGTCTCTAACTACTCTTTAACTTACTCTTTTCTCTGCTTCCACATATCATGGAAAGTACCACACTGATAAATAGGGCCTAGTTTGGAGGAAGTGAGGTGGCTACAGAATGTCACCTCAACCTTGGGCTGTTGATTTGGCTAACCAGGCTTTCTCAACATTGGCAATATTGACATTTTGAGCCAAATCACTTTGTGTCACAAAGGCTGTCCTGTGCATCATAGGATATTTGGCAGCATCCTGGGCATTAGGTGCCATGAGCAGCCCCTCTCAAATTGTGACCATCAAAAATGAGTCCAGAAATGATTCCTGGGGTGAGTGGTGATAGGAAGGTACAAAATGAGATTTGAAAACCACAGTCTTAACGGAGTCAGTTAGGGATCACAAGTCAGTGTGAAATACAGGCATATCTGCCTACTGTAATCAAAAGGAAACTGATTCCTAGAAGCAACCAAAATCTATGCCAAAAGAGTATTCCTCAGTCCACGGTTAAGGAAGTGACTACATTAGTGTCAGCTTCACTTGGAACATCCTGGATGCTTTTGATCAGAAGACTGGGGCAGTCATGTTTTGAGAACTCCACTTGGTGGCTTAGTAGAGTTACCAGGCTCCTTGTGGCTCAGACTTTGGAAGAAGACTGATAGCTCACTTTGGGTATCCAAGGAGGTTCAGGCTGTGGAAGGCTTCCAGATGACAATGTAGCTGCCTCCATTGGGTCAAGATGAGGAATTGGTGAAGGGAATCTTTCAAAGCTTTCTACAGCAGCCTGGCTCAGGTATCAGGGATTTTTGTGTGATCCTCTTATATGTTTGGACAGAAGCAGTTCCCTAAATCTTGGATGTATCATTGTTATATTTACTCACTGGATACATATTTACTGAGTGCCACTGTGTGCCACACCCTGGATGCAGCAGT